GGTTTATAGGGTTTAGGGTTTTTTTACAGTGCAGCGGGACTTTACAAAAAAAAGAACCTTAAACCCTATAAATCCTAAACCCTATAAACCCTAAACCCTAAACCCCATTGGGTTTAGGGTTTAGGGTTTAGGGTTTAGGGTTACGAAGACTCCGGGGCCACCAACTTAGCCCAGTTGCGCCAAGGCCAAACTCTGGCGCAGAAAGTCGACGTCTAGCAAGCGAGCTCCCTGCTGGGGAGGTTTGGGTTCAGAGGGTTTAGGGTTTAGGGTTTAGGGTTTAGGTTCAGATAGTTTGCCGTTTCATGTGCTGGCGGTGTAGCCTGAGAGACGATACCTACATCCCACAAGGCCTCACTCCGTGGGTAGTTTAGCACATTAATAATCAATAAGCCCCTTGCAGGGCCATGTTCGTAGTACGCTCCGGTTGCAATTGCACAACACTTGCACATCTGTCAACCAGGTTGCATGTCCCAAAATCTTTGAGCAACGGCCTCCGACATGCGCTGCAGAACGATGAAGAGCACGTCAAATGCACTTTCGTGTGTCCTGAAATCTAGTTAATGTAGGGGCCTTGACAATTACAATAGGGTTTTGGGGTATATCATACTATAGTTTATTATAAGGAACCCCCCAAAATAGTATAGGTAGTTATTTATGCCCCTATATTAGCCTGGTATCTTGGAGGGAGTGAGGGTCTTCGCGCAATCCACAAGCCCCAAGACCCCACCCCCCCTTAACTTGACCCTAAGCCCCTGACCCCAATAGGACCTAAACCCGAAACCAGCCTAAAGCCACCAAGTTGTGGGTTGGGTTGAGGGTTTTGGAGATGCGTCGGAGGCCAATCCCAGCTCCCGAGGCCACCAGACGTGCTGTGAAGCCCGAAGCCCTCTCGGGACAAAACCGTTGAGTTTAGGGTTTGGGGTTTGGGGTTTAGGGTTTAGGGTTCTGGGTTAAGGAACACCATTGTCAACCGAATAGCTGCAACAAAGAGTCTTCACCCCGAGTTGGCGAAGGGTGGCAGGGGAGAGGCCAACGAACTCTGAGTGCAAATAGCCTTGGCCGTGGGTAAGGGTTTAGGTGCTCCGGGCCTATAGGCCTAAAGGTTAGGCAAACTTAAGCAAAAAGACGGTCTCTAGAGGAGAAAAACATCATGGCATGTAGGTAGGCTCCAGGATATACCTGAGGCCAAAAGGCCTGAACAAGATGCTAGAGGGTGGTACTTGGAGGATCATGGGACTTAGTAAATAAGGGTTCTAAGTCCCCTAATTGGGGTTATAAGTATAGTTACCTTAGTTATAACCCTACTTACTAAGTCCCATGATCCTTTAAGTAGAGGCTGGTAAGCATCCGAACCGCAACGCCGCAGCCAAGCAAACAATGCACCTTAAACTGGCCGAAAAGATGAAAACCAAAAGCTACAAGGCTGGAACATGATTATCCTGGTACCCTGAAGGAATCCTGGCACTACTCATCCCTAAACACAACATTTCCGGCAGATCACTATAAGGCTTCTGAAGATGATATAGGCGGGCCTGTGTTGGGACACCAGTGGCATTCGGACTCCAAGCGGCAGAGGCCATCGTGGAATTCCGACAGAAGCTCTTGTGCTATGACCTTCTTCATGTCCACCTCCTTGAATGTAGGGGGCAAAGTTCAGCACCAGATTTTTTGGGCTTCGGCACATTATGTTTACAGACCCAGGGCTGCTGGGAGACCTCGGGCGGCGAGATGGGGTTCAGTCGAAGCCTCGCGCTGTATTCCTAGGTTGAGTAGGGTGTCTTTGGCCTTCCGCCTAACGTGGACGATGCCCTCATTGCAACGTGCGTTTCTTGGCTCGCTCATTTCCGTAACGGCATTACTCATGATGTCATGTTCCTTCAGCCTAAGACCCTCACAAGATCAAGGAAACTGCGTAACGTACTTTCAGGCTTAGGGTTTATCTCCCTGTCCACATTGCCGACATGCTAATCACAGCACCACAATAGCAGCAGTCGAGGCAGTAGGAAGATGAGGAGGTGATCCGTAAGTCTGCGTGCGTGACGTGCAGGGCAGTATCCCAGATAGTCTCAATCACCACCGTCGTCGGCAGAATCGTCGTCGTCGCCATCATGACCACTAGCACATGCGTTGAACAAGTCACCTCAAATGCCCTTTTACACCTGGACTATGCATATGCCAGGAACTGAAATGCCCTTGTTTGCAACTGGCTTGCAACGTCACGCCAGGACAGCTAACTGAAATGCACTAAACCCTAAACTGTTATCGTTCCATTTGAGAACCTCGGACGAGTATAGAGAAGAGTATAGACGCGGATGTGGGCATCAGATAAGCTAGGGTCTTTTTTGAAGACCCCAAAAAATGCTTCACTAGTTGCGATGAACCGCCATTTCCAGCTTCAAAATTGCAAGACACGACCGTTTTGGACTCATTTTTGACATATTTAAGCCCCCTCCAAATCGCACAACTCAAAGGAAACATCAGAAAAGACTCATTGTTGACATATTTAAGCCCCCTCCAAATCGCATAACTCAAGGAAAACATCAGAAAAGACTCATTTTTGACATATTTAAGCCCCCTCCAAATCGCATAACTCAAGGAAAAACATCAGAAAACGCCTTAACCCAGCTCGCTGCTGCTGAAGAGGCGGATGGTGCCTCGAAGGCCCTGGGCGGCTCCAACCACCGTCCGTCTGCAGCCCTGGGCCAACATCAACACTTTGGGGTTTAGGGTGTAGGGTTTAGGATTTAGCGTTTAAGGTTTAGGGTTTAGGGTTTAGGGTTTCAGCACTCACAACTGGGACAAGCCTGGAGGGGTTTAGGGTAGGGAGCTAAAACTTAAAAACATGGGGGGATGCAAGATTTCGAACAGGGTGCGTCATGCTACGAACATGTCAGGGTTAGGATGGGCCTACGTGAGCGACCTAGAAAACATCTTGGGACCGAGTACACACTGTAATCAACCAGGCTCCGCCGGGGGCCCCTGAACTAAATTCGCCTCGGCCCCGGCCGAAGCGGTCAGAGGTTCCCACAGGGAATCCTGTGGGAATAACCCTTGTTTGCAGACCCAAGCCAGACCCGAAAAGCTGAAGTCCTTGTTGCAGATCGGTTCATGGACCTCGGGGTGGGACAAAGCCCAGTTGCGTAAAGTCGAAACGCTACTACAGCCCAGACAACAAGTTGCTAAGGTGTAGGTGCTTCAGTTAAAGGAGTGTTGGCCTAAAGAGCTACAATCCATGACTGCGGAAACTGGAAAGTGTTCATGAAGCCGAGGATGTAGGACCGGCTGCTTCGACATCTATGTTGCAGCTGCGGTGCAGGACACACCTTTCCGACTGCAACTGCTGCCAGATATGGTTCTCGGTGCCTGGATCAGGGTTAACGGCGAGAACCCTCAAAACTGAACCGTGTACTGGGCTTAAGGATTCTGGCACGAGACCGGCAGTAGACAGATGAATGCTATCCAAGACCTTTGCTTCTGCTTAGGCTCCATCAACCAACATGGAACCTGTGTCCTCAACAGCATGAGCCCTTCACCTATCCATCCGAAATTCTTCACCTTTGTCTTGCACAAAGACAAATAAACAATGACTTTTGGCTCCTCCACCTGCTCAAAATACAATGCGCAGGTCGATATATAGCTGCAAATGTGGGTACAGCGATGGTTGCTGGGATCCACTGGGATACACATGCACATGAAGTGTAATGCAGGTGTGCGTGAGTATCTTCTTGACTGGGCTCTTGGAGGTCCGACACGCTTGAGGCTTTAGGCCTTGCTTTCGGGGATTTGAGTTCATCCAGGTTTGCTGGCCGAGAGCAACACAGGGATCTGTATGATTGGAAGGTAAGTAGTCTACTTCCCCGGAACAGCTGAAAAGAGCTGTTTTGGGTCTAGGCTGTCCTCTGGTTTTTAGGGCTTGGTTGGTATGATGTTGCCCTTGGGTGGCGATGAACGGAAAGCAATAGAATCCAATAGGAACTCATGCTTCGAATCCTGTACTACGGGGTTTGGAGCGATAAGACACTGCCGTATAAAAACCCATAATGCCCATCACGTGCCTCCGAAGAAGTCGCTACTGAGGCTGCTTCCGCCGCCCAAATCCTGGGCTGGAGCAGCGACGCCCGAGAGCCCTGATCCCACAATTGAGGCATATGCCTCGAACTGTTACAAGTTCCTGACGGGGAACATACCTTACACTTTGAAAGCCTCTTGTGTTTACTCAATGCAGCTTCCCCAATAGTGGGGTATTGGGCTCTGCGGGCATTCTGCAGGTGAAACACTGGTGCTACATGTCCGTGCAACAACTATGATGATCATGACGGCGATGAATCACTGACAACAACATTTCTAGTTGCCATTTGGGAGGCCCTCCCCTCCCCTTCATCGCCCCTCTCCCTCCTCGCTTTTCTGTCTCCGGCACCTTGTGTCAGACAGCATCTTGAGTCCAAGGACCCTTAGCCCTCAGCTCCCGACGGCCTGACATACCGCATGTTTTGAAGCTACAGCCTACACTCATCTAAACTCTCCATCCTAGACCTTAAATGCCCCACACCCCAAAGCTTCAAGCCTAATGCGATAACTGCCTAATTAAACCCTAAACCCTAAACCGTCAAGGCATCCGAGTCTGACCACATCACCCTAAGCCTTCAGCACGCCATGGCCCCTCAGTGCACGGGCTCCGCGCTGCAGCAAGGCCGGTCCGGCAGAAGCCTTGGAAAAAAACTGCGAGAGTGCAGAGATTCAGTTTGGGGGTTTTGGGATTAGGGTTTAGGGTTTAGGGTTTAGAGTTTACGAGGAGTGCAGGGCTCACGGTTTAAGCTTCAGGTTTTGGGGGGTAAACAGGTCAAGCCGGAGTTCGGGGCATAGGGTTGTACCGGGAGAATCCAGGGGCACGGTAATTTGAATTTGGTTCAGGGTTTCGGACACGCAGCGGTCCCATGCGATGAAACGACAGCCCAAACCACTATAAGCTTCGAGCTGCCAAAAGTTGGTGAGGGAGACAAGCCTCTTGTTTGTCATGCCAGGGGTGGTCAAGAATCCCCATAAGAGAAGCAAGCTCTTTACAGAATCCAACCAACCCACATCTTCAACAGCCATAAGCATTGGCAGCCCGAAATGTCTAAGCCATACCCTCGAAAAGGCATAAAACCATACAAGTAAGTTAAAAGTCCTAGGCCGAAATCACAGCACGGAACGCGAAAGCCATCAACAAAAACCCTAAACGCCTTAACCCTAAACCCCAAACCCTAAACCCCTAAATTCTAAACCCCTAAACCCTAAACCCTAAACCCAAACAGCAGCCAAGTGGCATCCAGAGCGGTGAGGGCTTCCTTCAATCCGTCGATCTCCTGCTGGCGCTTCGCTTGCCTGGGGAGACTGTGGGGGGATTGATGCCTTCAGGGGGCCCTTAAGGGGTAATGAATGTAGAGGCCATAATAACAAGACTATGGCTTGGGGATATATTAGACTGTAATTATAAAAAAAAATCCCCAAAATTACCCAAAAAAAAAAGTTGCGTGTTTAGGGTTTTGGGTTTACACACTCGGACTTGGCAGTGCAGGGTTCCAGCTTTCAGGTCCCTGAAACCTGACATGCCCCATATCGAAGCCCGAACTGCCCATGCAAGTAATGCCGGGGCCTTAACAATAAGAACAGGGTTTTGGGCATTTTATACTAAATTGAGAATGAGGAACCCTCAAAATAGTGTTGGGAGTTGGGAATGATCAAAGCCCCTATGTTAGAAGCTTGAGGGCTTTGGGTTTCACGCAGCAAGAAGCACGTCGCCATGCGGCGGTTGAATCGCAGAATCGCTCGGGCACCAAAAGACGCAAGTCCCTGAACCGAAAACCTCAAGCCCCTGTTGCAACAGGCCCTCTCAAGAAGCACACAACAATCCCTTGACCTTCTACCCTACGTGCTGAAACCCAGTGCTCCCACTGTCTCGTATCTACGATCTTGCTCTAATCTAAAAACCTTCCATCTATTCAAGGCCCACAACTAGAGCCCCTAGGCCCTGAACCCTAGAAACCCCCAAATCCTGATCCCTAAACACCAAAC